TGACCTAACTAAACATCAAAGGGTTCACACAGGGGAGAAGCCATATAAATGCTTGGAGTGTGGAAAGTGCTTCTCCTATAGTACCAGCCTAAAGATTCATACTGGTGAGAAACCATATAAATGCTTCGAGTGTGGAAGGTGCTTCTCTCACAATGGTGACCTAACTAAACATCAAAGGGTTCACACAGGGGAGAAGCCATATAAATGCTTGGAGTGTGGAAAGTGCTTCTCCTATAGTACCAGCCTAAAGATTCATACTGGTGAGAAACCATATAAATGCTTCGAGTGTGGAAGGTGCTTCTCTCACAATGGTGACCTAACTAAACATCAAAGGGTTCACACAGGGGAGAAACCATATAAATGCTTGGAGTGTGGAAAGTGCTTCTCCTATAGTACCAGCCTAAAGATTCATACTGGTGAGAAACCATATAAATGCTTCGAGTGTGGAAGGTGCTTCTCTCACAATGGTGACCTAACTAAACATCAAAGGGTTCACACAGGGGAGAAACCATATAAATGCTTGGAGTGTGGAAAGTGCTTCTCCTGTAGTAGCAACTTAAATGTTCATCGAAAGATTCATACTGGGGAGAAACCATATAAATGCTTGGAGTGTGGAAGGTGCTTCTCCATGAATAGCAGCCTAACTGCACATCGAAAGATTCATACTGGGGAGAAACCATATAAATGCTTGGAGTGTGGAAGGTGCTTCTCCATGAATAGCAGCCTAACTGCACATCGAAAGATTCATACTGGGGAGAAACCATATAAATGCTTGGAGTGTGGAAGGTGCTTCTCCATGAATAGCAGCCTAACTGCACATCGAAAGATTCATACTGGGGAGAAACCATATAAATGCTTGGAGTGTGGAAGGTGCTTCTCCATGAATAGCAGCCTAACTGCACATCGAAAGATTCATACTGGGGAGAAACCATATAAATGCTTGGAGTGTGGAAGGTGCTTCTCCATGAATAGCAGCCTAACTGCACATCGAAAGATTCATACTGGGGAGAAACCATATAAATGCTTGGAGTGTGGAAGGTGCTTCTCCATGAATAGCAGCCTAACTGCACATCGAAAGATTCATACTGGGGAGAAACCATATAAATGCTTGGAGTGTGGAAGGTGCTTCTCCATGAATAGCAGCCTAACTGCACATCGAAAGATTCATACTGGGGAGAAACCATATAAATGCTTGGAGTGTGGAAGGTGCTTCTCCATGAATAGCAGCCTAACTGCACATCGAAAGATTCATACTGGGGAGAAACCATATAAATGCTTGGAGTGTGGAAAGTGCTTCTCTAACAATAGCCGCCTAAGGACACATCAAAGGATTCATACTGGAGAGAAGCCATATAAATGCTTGGAGTGTGGAAAGTGCTTCTCCTGTAGTAGCAACTTAAATGTTCATCGAAAGATTCATACTGGGGAGAAGCCATATAAATGCTGGGAGTGTGGAAAAGGCTTCTCCATGGATAGCAGCCTAACTGCACATCAAAAGGTTCACACAGGGGAGAAGCCGTATAAATGCTTGGCGTGTGGAAAATGCTTCTCTCAGAGTAGTAACCTAAGGACACATCAAAAGAGTCATACTGTGGAGAAGCCATATAAATGCTTGGAGTGTGGAAAGTGCTTCTCCTTGTCAGCAAGCTGCCATTCTGTTTTCTGTGACCTCTGTGTACATATCCTTTCCCTGTTGGTTTCTATCATCCTGCTCCTGCGTTGGAATGCAAAAGATAACTGCTGGAGGTTGTGTGGGGGAGAAGATACTGCAATGCTTGCCTATTGCTTTTCTCATGACTGCTGCACCTGTGTTTTGTCTGATGTTTTGCCTGGTTCCCATAGACTGGGCGCGCAACCGTTTCCTTAGCCCGCCAGCGGGAAAGTTATTCATTGGATCTGCATCTGTTTGAAGTTCCTTTAGTATGCTTGACCTAACTGTGTATCCCCAGTTCTAACAAAGAACGTGTTTGAGTATGTCTTCAACGCTTTGAAATAAACTTTACTTTTCTTTGAAAACGTGGATTTATTCTCGATGCTTGGGGATCCAACATTATGCAACGGTGGCATTGCAGCAGTTTGTGTTTATTTTATTTGTGTACTTACAAATGTTGTATACGGTCTTTCTGCCCAATGTGGCCCACCAAGATGGCCAAAGAGTTAAAATAACACGTTATAAAAACATATCAAAACAATTTAAACCGAAATTCAGTTGCATAATAAAAGCACATAAAACAGTAATTAAAACACAGGGCAGGAAGGAGCAATCACTGAGGAAATGCCAGGCAAAAGAAAAAAGTATTCACCCACTGTAGGAACACAATGACAGAAAGGACCAGATGAACACTCCTGGAGGGAGAGTTCCATAGTTTTGATACCACAGCTGAGAAGGCTCTCACATGGGTTGCTACCACCTAACCTCAGAAGGTGGGGGCACCCAAAGAATGGCTTCAGAAGACAACCTTAGTGGTTGGGTATGTATGCTAATTCCAGGCCATATAGGGCTTTAAAGGTCAACACTAGGGGTATGCAGGGTTTTTTCACAGTATTTTTTGGTTTGGGTCTATTGGACCCGAAAAAATTTCAGAATTCCCCCCCAAAACCCGGATCTCAATACCATTAAAGTATTTGGATCTGGGATTTTTCAGAAATTCTGATTTTTTTACATTGGATGTGTTAGGCTTGCCTCATTTCACTGTGGTTCTGTTTGCATTGAGAGGCTTTTAGCCAATGGTAACTTTGTTTGCTCTTGTGTCTTTGACTATTCTTTGCCCCAAGAAAGCATGGAACCCCCCCCCCCAAAGGAAACAATGGATGATGGCTGGGCCTGGGGGCAGCTTGTTCAGGGGCCACTTGAAACTTGGAGGTCATATAGCGGACAGTCAATTGCTTAAAAAACAGCCCCCCTCCCAAGATTCCCCATAGGAAATAATGGAGCCAAATAATATCAGAACCTCCCCCCTTCCCCACAAAGCCCAGATCTGGTATTTGGGACCTGAATAACCAGGAACACTGGTATTTTTTGGCTCCCTGATATCCAGATCTGAAAAATCCTTAATTCAGAATTCAACTAACTCTAACTCTGCCTTTTCAATATTTTTTTTTTAGTACTATGTAACTATATAGTGCTCAGACTGCCTCCTGTTAAAAAAGATATTTTGGAGATGGCACCTAGGGTAAAACATCTGTACTTCGAAAGCTCACAGATAAAACAACACAGCTTGCTGCTCTGTCACATTTAGCTACCCTTGAGCCAGACAGTGGTTATTAGCTGTGGTATAAAATCCCCTCCAGCCAAATGGTTGTTAAACACTGTTTGTGTCTCTGTAATTGCTGTGCAGATCTGAAGAAAGCCCCACTGTCCTTATCATACCCCCTTAAACTGTACCCTGGGTGAACCAAGTCTTCCTCACTGACAGGAGAGTCCTGCTGTTTCCTCAAATTAAATTTCCCCTCCTCTGAGGAGAGGGAGGAGTACAGAGCAGAACTTGGCATACAACTTCTGCAGACAAAGCGGTTCTCTTTTAATAATGAAACAACAAAGATGTTCTTACTCTTTCAGTTCACAGTAGATTGGAAGCACTGAAGGGTGGCACACAAAAGCAAATGCAATGGTGGGCAAAGCGTATACAGTCTGTTTTAGAAAAACAAACAAACAGAGAGTCAGGAATGATACATATTTCTCTTAAATTTTTACACAGCCCTTTTCAGCAAGGGTTATCTGCCCAGGGTTCTATACCATTGAAACAACAAGTGTAATAGATTCTCTGAATTCTCAGCTTCCATTCAAAGCAAAAGAGTACATTTCTAGCCCTTTCCTTTGCACACATATAAGAATGGCCTTTCTTCACAATGATTTTTAAAATATTTGCCTTTTTAAAAAAATTGCAAAAGCCCAAGTGGCCCTGGGCAGGGGCTGGCCACTGCTGGGGGATCAGGGCAGGGAAGCAGATGATGTGGGAAACCTGCGATGTGGAAGCCCCATGGCTGGTGCGCTTTATCAGCAGCCACACCAGCAGCAGGGAAAGCACACAAGCCCCTCCTTGTGTGGAAATCACCAAAATCTAAAATACACACTTCTCCCTTGCTCAGGATTGTTCTTATCTGCCGCCTGGTTCTGCTCCCCACTTCCAGTTTCACTTTCTCTATGTCCCTCTCATTTTAACCTCAGCTACCTGAAACTTGTGAAAAATCTTCCAGTTCTTTGAACAATCTTGGAAATTAGCAAAATGTAATTTCTTCTGCCTAGAAAACTATGATTGTCTTGGCACCAAGGAAAAAGAACCTTCTAGATGAGCAGCAGAATCTGGGACTGTCCATGAAATGTAATGAGACATACTATGAAACGAAACGTACCTTGGAATTAATGGTAACATATTTGGGCTGGCACATCTCCTCAGAAGAAGAGCTAGAGTTTGAAAAGGTAGTTGTGTTTGTCCCCTGTATGGGACAGGGGAGTTGAAATTTTTTGTAGATAACCTGGAACAAAGAGCCACAATTGTACATTTCAAGCAAATGGCATTACTTTAAAACTTAATGTAAACCTAAGTGAAACATAAAGAAAGCAACACCACTTACCACAATGAGAAAAAATACCATGCAAGTCAGGGAAAAGCCACTAGTGTAGCCTAGATACCCTAAGAAAATGCAAAGGGGGAAATTTGTTCAGCAATTCATTCAGCCATCATAATTTGCTTAATTGAGTAAAGTTTACAGTTATTATTATTATGAATTTATTTATTTAATTTATACCCTGCCCACCCTGCAAGAGCAGGCTCAGGGCGGCTTACACAGTTGGATAGATAAATAACAATTAAAATGCACATAAAATCCTCTAAAAACAGTTCAGTTATAAACAGTTCAATGGCATAAAGTGCTGGCGATATTTAATTAATTGCATTAACGATGGCGTACTATATGATTTAAGTAAATGTGGCACAGTCCAGGAAAATGTGTTGGGTTATACATATATCCCTTCTTCATACATGGAAGTCACTAGATTCAGAAAAAGAAATGGAACTCTTAGGTTCAGTAGCAGTTTGTGTTTGAATATAAGTTGATGGAGGGGAAACAAGGGAGGCTTTGATCTCCATACTCTGCTTTGAGGCCTACTGGAGCCTCAAAGAACCACTAATCTAATCTAGCAGACCTCTTCTTATAGTTTTTTTTGCATTGATTTATGATAACATAACCAGAGCAGGCTTGATGTGACCTTCCTCAGGGAATGGATATGTGCGGAGGTCCATTGTTGTCCAGTCGCACAGTCGAGTCCGACTCTTCGCGACCCCATGGACGAACTCTCGCCAGGCCTTCCGGTCTTCCGCCGTCCTCTGAAGTTGGCTCAACTTCATGTTCGTTGCATCGATGACACTGTCTAACCATCTCATCCTTTGCCGTCCCCGTCTTCTTTGACCTTCAATCTTTCCCAGCATCAGGGTCTTTTCCAGTGAGTGCTCCCTTCTCATTTGGTGGCCAAAGTATTTGAGCTTCAGTTTCATTATCTGGCCTTCCAGGGAATAGTCAGGGTTGATTTCTTTGAGGATTGACTGATTTGTTCTTCTTGCAGTCCAAGGGACTCTCAAGAGTCTCCTCCAGCACCATAGTTCAAAAGAATCTATTCTGGAAATCTGCGTTCAGTTGGGTAAATCTTTCCTTTTCGCCTTTGCCTTTCGCTTTCCTTCTTTCCTCTGCTATTTGTAAAGCCTCATCAGAAAGCCACTTTGCTTTCTTACATTTCTTTTTCTTTGGGATGGTGGTGATTGCTGCCTCCTGTACGATGTCACGAACCTCTGTCCATAGTTCTTCAGGCACTCTATCTATCAAATCCAGACCCTTGAATCTATTCTTCACCTCTACTGTATATTCATCAGGGATGCGGAGGTCCATTGACAGAAAGCAAATCATTAAGCAAGTTGTCGTTTGGATCTTCTACCTCAGGGAACCATTTTAGGTACATGAAAGGTAACCATATCTGGTTTTCTCCAAGTTGAAACAGGAATACTACGCTATGACAGCTCTATGTATGTGTGTAAAATCAAACAGATACACATACGCTCTCTGATCCTTGATCAAAATTTAAGGTTTGGATGGGGGGATAGCGCAGGTTACCCAAGTTGCGCATGGAAAAATAAGCTTCAAATATGGTACTTGACTGTAATGGCAATTTTATTGTTACAGTCTTCTCCTGTCTTCAGATGAACAGTGAGAGCTTTCACTGAACAGAAAATACCCACCAAAGGACACTCATACAATGAGACAGGAAAGGTCATGACACAGTCAAGGCTTTTCAGGAATACAGCTAGTGAAGGTTTGACAGGACTGGATAGCTAAATGCTAGAGATGGCTGACAGCTGGTGGGAAGCAAGCTATGGATTTGAAGAGTGGCTGGTGGGTGGGGTAGGGGGATTGTGTGGCAAGAGAATCCTGGGGCTAAGGAATGATGTTACAGTCAATTTTTAAAATTATTTTAAACATTCCTGAGGCAGGATGGGATAAAAATGTGAACAATAGTAAACTTCAAATGCATATAAAATAAAACCATACTAAAGAAACCATACTACAGAAACCATGCCAGTCTGAAGTTTAAACAGAAATGTTCACATTTTTACTGATTTTGAACAAATATTGACTTTCATTTTGGAATAAAAGATACATAGATTTAAAACAAACACAGACTACTCCATTTACACTGGGAGCAGACATCTTGGTGGACATAATCCAGATTCCAAAATAGAAAAGCCAAATAAACACTTCATTTTGTTTCAAGTTGAGGCAGCCAACTGTATTCAGACTGTACCAAATTGTAAGGTAGGCTTCATTATTATATGGTTCCCTATGCAAAGTTTATTGCAAGGCCAAGGAGGGCACATGAATCAGAATACAGCATACCACTCCTGGAATGCTGTACCAAAGGTGTCTAAAAACCATCCTTTTTTCTTTTTAAAAAGGCAAACGTATCCTTACCTAAATTCTTAAGAAGACATAAAGGCAGAATTATACAGAATGTCACCATTACGACAAGAAGTCGCCCATCCACATACCAGGCTCTGTAAAACATTTTTAAAAGTGTAGGTATAACCTTATGCTCCAGTTTTGAAATATCACACATATACTGTAAAATATGTTTCTGATATAATTATTATGTGCCTACAGTGCAATCCTAAGAACAGTTTACTGGGAGTAAGCCCAACTAAGTAGATCTGCTTAGGATGACATTGTAAGACAGCAATCCTAAACAGATCTACTCAGAATTCTATCTGGTCTATTCTTATTTCCAGGGAAGTGTTCTTAGGACTGCACTGTAGGTTTCCAGAGACTGACTAGCCTCTGGAATACATATGGGTGTGTATCAGATAGTATAGCAGAGATTCAGGGTTGGATTCTACCTCCTAAGGTTGCCCAGTTCCCCTCTTCACTGCAGTTCCTGTCTCTCTTGGCTTTCATCCGTGTGGGTCTCATGATCCCTGGCATAGCCTTTTTAGTGGCCAAAAGGAGCCACCCTCCCCTCTCTTGCAATTGGCAGGATTCAACCCCTTAGCTGTCACTTGAAAGCAGCTCTTTGTTGAATCTCAGCCATAGGAGTCTGCAAACATCATGTTTTCAAAAAATTCCTGGGGAAAAGTGTTACCTGAGTGCCAGGGGTGGAGGGCAAACACATGCCAGTTGGCATTAGTCACAACTTGGGCTTTCAACACAGGAAAGGATTGCTTAACCAGGACGACGGTTACTGCAGTACAAAGTGTGCTGCAGACAGTGATTTCCATGACTCGCCAGCAGACAGCAAGACCGCATATATTAAGTGTACCATACTAAATATCAAGTGGTTCTAGAGACAGGAGCTACACTTTACTTAGAAACCTGTTTAATGTCACAGTAAAGCTACTGGTTACTGCACTGGTTCTCAACCATGCTTTTTCTACAGACCAGAATCTCCAGCCAGCTACTTCTCTCCTGAGAACGGATGGTTCTTTCCAGAGTGTATACCACCATGCAACAGCACACATGCACATCCAAAGCCTGGAGATTTGGGGGTAGAGCCTGGGGAAGGCAGGGTTTGGGGAAGAATCTCAGCAGGTTAAAATGCCACAGAGTCCAACTTCTGAGCAGCCCATTTTTTCAGTGGAACGGATCTCTTTGGTCTGGAGATCAGCTGTGATTCTGAGACGTCTCCAGGCCCCACCTTGAGGTCGGCAACCCTGACATCAGGGGAAGGCCTTGGCCTCTGTGCCCTGTTTCTTGGCCACTGTGAAAAACAAGTTGCTGGACCAATTGACCTGATCCAGCAGGGCACTGTGGCTGCCACTGCTAACTCTGTCCTCAGCCTATATTTGTTTTGTACATAATGTGTGTGTGTGTGTGTGTATGCACATTATGTGCAAATGTTGGCTCTGAATATGT